AATTTTATACGGCTGTCCAGCTATTAGTATTTTACTTTTTGGAAGAGCACATAAATTTATTTTTTGTGGTACTTTCACTAATGTTCCATTTTGGTATGAAAATGAAATTAAATGGATAATAATTATCTGTTTTGTCAATGTTATTTCATTTTTAAATAACATATCATTTCCTTCACAACGTTCACATAATTTGTCATTTAATTTAATCCAATGTGAAAATGAAATATTTAGTAAATCGTTAAGATTAAAACTTTTCTTGTTCGAATTGTTAACAGAAATTGAGAGAATAAAATTATTATTAGTAGTAATTTTTGTATCACCACATGTTATACATCGACAAGTAGAAATAATTTTATGCTCAACCAATTTTTTTATAAAATCATATTTAGTACAAAGAGCTACGAGAAAATCAAATGCATCTCGTTTAATACAAGTCAAAAAATTCTCACCTAGATATTCTCGTACTGCGTAGGTACTCAAATTAAGTATTCCGTTTTCATATCGATGCACTAATATACTTAAAATATTTAGTTTATCAGAATTAAGTAAATGTTTTCTAATAATATTTAAATGAAATAAACATTGTAATGTAGCATTGGCATAGCATGAAACTTTGTCAGTATTTTGAAAACCACGTATAACCCAAGATGTAGTACTTTGTCGAACTTTTTGATCTGACTGTTGAACGGAAGTTATTATTTTTGGTAATGCCCATAGCACATCTTTAACTTTACGATAACGCTCTTTTGAAATAGCAATAATTTGTGCTTCTGGTTTATGTAGTCGTTTTAGCCGATTATATTCAATAATTGCTTCTTCACTAGCTATTATAGATGAAGGATCATAATTAATCAAATACAATCCATCTAAAGATGTTACTCGAGATAATGTAACATAAATTTGACCGCAACTAAATACAGAATTACCTATATCCATAACAACGTTCTTCATGGTTAATCCTTGATTTTTATGAACGGTGATAGCATAACTCAAAGATAAAGGAAATTGTTTTCTAATAACAAATGCTTTATCCATCACTTGAAACTTGACACTTACTCTTTCAATAAAATATTCTAAACCAGATGATAAAAGAAGTTTAATTTTTTCTACATAATTAGTATCCTGCACAATTGAAATAACTGTAGCAATTGTGCCATTAACAAGACCCAAACTGGCATCAATATTGCGTCTTATCATAACTTTTGCTCCAATTTTAACTGAAATTTGTTTTGAAAGTCCAGCTGTTCTACTATTATTATCATCATTATCCGTTAATATTTTTGATACTCTTTTTTTGATATATGGAATACATTCAATCTCATCTTCAGCAATTAATAATATTTCTTTTGAAGAAATACGATTTAACATTGCAGTATTGAGAACATCACACATATTACAAGTAGGCAGTAAACAAACAGTATCAGAAGGTAAATTATCTATAAAATTACATATTTCATTTAATCTTGCTTCTTGAGACTCATTTTTTAAGGATATTTTTCTTTTTTTGAGAATGTCAGAATCAGATTTTGTTACTAAACCAATACGAATTCTCGAGAGTAATTCACGATAAAATTCGTCTCCTTGCTGGCGCATATTAATCGTCAATTCGTCATAGTCAAATAAAGTAGTCCATAGATTAACAGTATGTAAGGAACCAAGAAATTTTTGAATTTTTTTATTCGATAAACATACAAAGGCAGGATCTTCATGTACAGGAGGTAATTGAAGCAAGTCTCCAAATAAAAGAATATGTTTTTGACCAAACCAACCATCATCACAATCGATAGTATTGAATATTTCAGATAATCGTAGATGTATATACAATAAAGTTAAATTAGATATCATTGATACTTCATCAATTATAAAAAGAACAACATCTTTGAGATCTGCTCGTAAAACTTTTAAAACGTGATCAGCTAATGGTTTGTACTTAGGAATATTACCATGTTCAACTGGTAATTGAAACAATCTATGTGCTGTCAAACCATCAATGTTAAACGCTGCTATACCAGTGGGTGCCGCTATAGCAGTATCTTTGCTGATTTAAGGCATTAATTTCTATAGATTGTGTTTTTCACATGTACAATACCTGACCAGTAATTATTTTCAGTAAAGGTAGAAAGTTACTTTTCAGAAAAAGTAATAGCAATAGTAACCTCTTATATTTTTGCAATAAATTACCTAGAAATTTTCACTTCTGCTGCTCTACTAGACCGCCTTCTCCTGCTCTTCACTAAAAAATTCAGAAATTTTCTCCCTCTTCTCTCTCTCTCTCTCTCTCTCTCTCTCTTCCTCTGCTGTTCCACTCTTATTTTTGTTATAATTAAAGCCTGCAATAAATAAATTGTATTGTTCGCTTACACACAATTTTACAAATTAAAAAACCAATACTATTATATCATACTTACTCGTAATTAATTTATTATTATATAATTACAACTTTTTTTATTCTTCTTTCCTTTCTCTTTGTGCACTAGTAAACACATATGTATACAATTAGTGTGATTTGAATATCGAACGATATCGATACATGTAAATGTGATACAATCTAATGTTATTTATTTCCGTTGTCATATAAACGAGATAAAGTGTAAGGGCTATCGCACATGAAATGCATAAGCATAACATAAGACTGCTGGACCAATGAGCATCTAGCATAATGTCGCCATATTGATTTACATAAGATGCTCATTGGTTACCGGCCTTATGTATTGCTTATGCTCTATTATGCATTTCATGTGTGAGAGCCCTAAGGCTGGAGTCCCATGAGGTGTATTTACCGCGTATCGCGTAACCGCGTAACCAATCAGAAGCGATTCGCTGTTGTGATTTCGCGTTTTACTGATTATTGATTGGTTACGCGGTTACGCGATACGCGGCAAATACGCTTCATGGGACTCCACCCTAAGAGCCCAGACACAAGCTTTTGCATAACGCATAACTCATAGTGCATAAGAGAATCGACCAATCGAAATTCTTCTTTTCCATGGAATGGGAGGAAAGGAAAGATTTTGATTAGTTGATTAGTTTATGCACTATGCATTATGCTTTATGCAAAAGTCTGTGTCGCGGCCTTAAGGGCCCAGACACAAGCTTTTGCATAACGCATAATACATAGTGCTTAATAGAATCAACCAATCGAAATTCTTCTTTTCCATGGAATGAGAGGAAAGGAAAGATTCTGATTAGTTGATTCGTTTATGCACTATGCATTGTGCTTTATGCAAAAGTCTGTGTCGCGGCCTTTACTGTCATCTGTGCAACCCATCACCACGAAGGAAAATGATGAAGAGAGAGAGAAGAACATGGACAATGATATATGTATATATATATATGATATATATGATTGATATATGTATATGATTGCCATATATATCAATGAAGCTGATATATATGTCAATGATATATATGATTGATATATATATACAGGGTGTTTGACGACTACCGCATTTTTTGTCATACGTGGGTAGAACAGCCTATACTGA